TTTTTTTTAATGTGCATTTATTCCAAGGAGGAGGTATTCCACAATAGTTAGGAGCACAGTCTTTATTTTTGTTTAAATATATCTTTATTGATTTCAGAGAGAGGAAAGGAGAGGGAGAGAGAGAGACAGAAACATCAATGATGAGAGTCATTGATTGAGCCTGCAACCCAGGCACGTTCCCTGACCGGGAATCGAACTNGTTTAAATATATCTTTATTGATTTCAGAGAGAGGAAAGGAGAGGGAGAGAGAGAGACAGAAACATCAATGATGAGAGTCATTGATTGAGCCTGCAACCCAGGCACGTGCCCTGACCGGGAATCGAACCCCGATCGCCTGGGTCCTAGGTGGACGCTCAACCGCTGAGCCACGCCGGCCGGGCCCCTATACTTCTTCACACCAGTTCTCCGTTCTCTCTCTCGCTCTCCTGGTCCAGGGTCTCCATCCTTATTATGCCCCCTTGGGTCCGGCCCTGGACTCCCGCGGGAGCACCGCCAGGACCATCTACAGGTCTCCCTGTGCGTGTTCTCCACTCCCGCAGCCTGTCTTTCCTCACTGCCACTGGGTCAACCTTCCCAGAGCGCGTCTAAGGACCTCGCCCCTGCTCAAAACATTCAGGGCCCCCCCACACACACACTCCATTTCCTGCAGAATAAAGTACAAACTAGCCAATCGCAAGGGTAAGTTTGAACCAAAATGAATTCTCAGTTAAGAATCCAAGACTATAAGGTATCATTTAGAGAGAGAATTAATTTATCAGCAAGTGTTCAACTAGCATAAAGCTAATCAACACAGGTTTGATGTTACTCTTACTCACATATATAAAAGGTTTACGCCTCGATCCGTTTACTCTAAATGGAAAAATTCCAACATTGGTTGCAGACGAGTGTACTCTGGCCTGTTTTAGTGCAAACTCTCACGATGGGTAGTACATCTATTAGGAAATAGTTATGTCATTTTTTTGCGACCCCCATTGAATTAACATAATTGTGATGAATGTTGTTGTGTTGACCACGGCTGACAGTAACACGCCTGAACTGTTACCCCTAATAGCATCTAAAGTGTGGCTCTATGTCCCCTTAAATGACCAGGGAATGGCTCTGAAACTCTCTAGCCCCTGAGAAGCAAAGCCAGGGTACATGCGATAAAGGCCCCTAAACTTCACCCGAGAGGGAAGTTTCTATATTGGCCATTTCCACGTCAGCTCCTCTGTTTTCCTTCCTCATTGTTGGGGAATTAGGATGTACCATTAAGTTGGAAATCTTTTTGTTCTTAATGTCCCACTGGAATTGAATAAAATCGAGGTGTGGTTTTTTTTTGGTTTTTTTTTTTTTTTCTGAAACAAAGTTCTTTTGAAGAAGTATGTTAACAGATATAAAGAGGACTTAATTCTCTAGCTTGAAAGAGAGGAAATGTGTTCATCCCTGTGCTGATTCCCTGAAACCTACTGTCAAGGCTTCAGTGAGGACTCTGAACTCAAGGTTTAAGGTTTTGAAAGGGTCTTACATGGGAAACCCACTGACATTACGGATCAGCCAGGGGAACCTGTCCATTCAGAAAATCGGATTTCTATTGTACTGCTTACTGCATTCAGTAATGATCGACAGGGCAGAGTCTTCAGATATATAGAAACAGATGAAGAATACTTTAAAGTCAAAGTGGTAAAATATTCATCTTAGATTGTTATAGTTCCACGTATGATTTTTCTCAAGCATAACTTCTATTACTGCCGTGCTTTTTGTAAACTGAGAACTTTTTCTGCTATTAGATATGGTTCACTACTGTGGAATCAGGAAAAATGGAAATATTTCTACTTCTTTTAATACTGGAAACACCAAACAAAATGCAAAAGCCAACAGTAAATTCTAGAAGGTATTTTTGACGTATGCAATAAGTGTTAATAACCTTGATATAAAAATAGCCATCGCAAACCCAATAGGAGATTGAATCTTATAATTTAAAAATGGGCAAAGAATATGACTAGATAATACAGAGATTAATAAATACAAATGAACAGTTATTGTTCTAGAATGTTCAACTTCAGTGATGATTAAAATTAAAAGATTATTTTGAATATCATGCTAACACAAAGTTTTTGAAAAGGTAATAAATCTGGGAACAGTTTTGGGGAAAGAGGCCCCCTCATAGGTACCAGGTTATAGACCATCCCAGTCTTCCTAGACAGTATCCATGTAACACCTGACCCAGTGATTTCACCTTGGGCATTCAATCTAAGGAAGTAGGCAGCTGAGGGTAAGACTTATAGGAAAGGATGTTGTAACAGAGGAAGGAAACTAAAAATCCACAAGACAACCCTGCTATAGCTGGTCTCTAAGGGTGATGCACAAAGGAGAGGTCCCAGTGGGCCCAGAGGATGGGCAGAAGCCGGAAAATGAAAGAACTCTGCTGTCCACCACACACAAAGTTTGGAGTTTAACAGGTTAACTGTGAGAATTAGAACTGATATTCTTCAAAAGAATATAACAGAATCCAGAGACTCTAAAATATGTTACTCGTAATGTCCATGGGGCGATTGCATGTTCTGGTCCCCTTGAGATGAGATGGGCCCTGGACCGGGTCTGGCCGATGACGAGTGGACAGTAATGAAATGTGCTAACTCCCAGGATGGAGCCCTTCATTGCCACACAGACCCTCCTGTGGTCTGGTTTCCTCTGTCACTAGGACCGGTGACACCTACCAGGCTAGGTCCCTGAGCAACAGCAATGAACAGAGACCCCCTGCCAACCTGCACAAGGCACGGGGCACAGGTGAGAAACAGGCCTTTATTTCAAGTCAGTTATTGCTTTAAGCTTTTGATTTTGGAAATTGGTTGTTATTTCAACATAACCTAGCCTATTCTGATTAATAAGATTCCTTTTATCATATTAAGAGAATTCCCTTCTAGTCCTAGTTTGTGTTAATAACACAAATGTTTAAAAACGAGAAAGGTTGGGCCATTTTAGTCCAGATTGGAGCAGAGAGATGGAGGGTGGGATGATGAATGTCTCCAGGAAAAGAAAAAAGATCATGGGTAATCCAATGTTCTGAACATCAGGAACATAGTATTCATCTGCTGGACCCTGAGATATTTGAAAAAAAATAGTACATATATACAAGTCACACAAACAAAATGAGAGGCGACTGCCAGTGCTAGAAAAATAGGTGGTCTAAGGACAGCAATGCAGTCAGAGTCGATGTGTGACTTACAGTGAACAGTATTTGATCACAATAGCATGACAACTGATTATCGATTTAACTGTGACATAGCTATTAAAGAACTGAGGGGGAGGAGGTAAGCGTGGGGAAGAGGGACACATTCGTACCGTTGCTCGGTGACTGGCAGTCCCCACCAGAGCCATGTGGCTGGGACAATCCGACAGTGGGGACAGTGTCTCAAAGGGGTTCTCAAACCAAGACTTTTTTCTCGTGATTAGTGATTATTTCTCCCATTTATTCGTGGATCTCTTAGGAGACTTGGGATGTGTGGCCCCGCAGGTCAATTCATGAAAATCCCACAAACCGGGAGACAGCCTCGGTCTGTTGTTTCATTGCTTAATTAGCGAGTGGTCAAAACGCGGCCCTGAGAGCCGAGAGCCCC